TTTCGAGCATTCAAACGCTTTTTAAGATTGCTGAGAATGGTTTTATTGGATGCTTCCGCTTGCCCATTTCCTTGAGGATACCTCGGCGTTGAATAGCTAAGTTTTATTCCCCAAGCAAAACAAAAATCTTCAAATTCATTTGAAATGAATTAAGGACCGTTGTCCGTTACTATTTCGTAAGGAATTCCATGGCGACAAATAATGTGTTTCCACAAGAATGTTTTTACCACAGAATCTTGTATATTTACGTAGGCTTTTGCTTCGATCCATTTGGAAAAATAGTCCGTTAGAACTAATAGGTATTGGACGCCTCGCGTTGAGCGATGCATCGGACCAACTATATCCATTGACCACCTCATGAAAGGGTATGGAGCGGATATAGATGACAGAATTTCAGATGGCTGGTGAATAAGAGGAGCATGCATCTGACACTTTTTACACCATTTGGCGTAACCGATGCAGTCAGAAATTATAGTTGGCCAGAAATATCCTAACCGTTTGATTTTGAAAGCCATTGCTCGTCCCGAAGAATGACTACCACAAAGCCCTTCGTGGACCTCGCTTGTCACTATTTCAACTTTGGGTCCAAAAATACATAAAAGGTAAGGATCACTGACGCCTCGCTTGTACAATGACTCTTTAATTATACAATACTTAGCGCTGATGATTTTTAATTTGCGAGCTTGCCATTTGTTCGATGGTAGTTCTCCATTAAGAATGAAATTTTGGATGGGTACCCTCCAGTCTGCCCCCCAATCATTAGCGGAAGTATTATCCTTGAGTATAAACTTCCTTGGTTTGGGTTCGGAAGGAATATCAGGATCTTTGATTGTTTCCCGAACCTCTTGATCTTTTAATTTTCTTCTTGGCTTTCTTTTAGGAAGTTCCAATGGTGAAGTAAGTTCATCATCTTGAGATTTTACTCGTGATCTGGTGACCACAAATGAACTATTTTCATTTCCGGAGCATGACTTTGGAATTTCGATATGCTCGGCCTCCAAAATGTTATCGTTTTCTATTTCTTCAACCGAAATACTTCGCGAAGAAATACATTCAACTGGGATAACTCGTTTGAGCCCGGGATCTGAGGTAGATGCTAGGGTAGCTAAAGCGTCTACCGAAGTGTTTTCTCCCTGAGGGATTCGAACTAATTCGAAGTCTTGGAAATCTCCAGCGAATTGGTTTACAACCAGCTGAGAATCACAATAAGCTATTATTTTTTCTGCTCCAATTGCAAGAGCAAGCCGAAGTCCTGCTAAGAGAGCTTCGTATTCTGCCTCATTATTCGAAGCCGGAAACATTAATCGAAAAGACTGTTCGATTATTTCCTTTGTCGGAGTTTCGAGCCTAATACCGATTCCGGATCCTTGTTTAGAAGAAGAGCCATCTACATGTAATTTCCATGTAGAGTCTATTTCAATAAGGATTTCATCATCTAGTGGTAGTTCGGTAAGAAAATCAGCCAGAACTTATGCTTTTGCGCTAGTTCGACTTTTGTACTCTATATCGTACTCATTGAGCTCGATTGCCCATTTCGCCAATCTACCGGACGGACTTGGTCCGTGAAGAATTGAGCGAAGCGGATGAGAAGTTAAAACTTCTATCGGGTGAGATTGGAAGTAAGGTCTGAGTTTTCTAGCAGATATGACTACCGCTAAAGCTAATTTTTCCATCATGGTATATCTCGTTTCCGGACTGGTAAAAGATTTACTTATGTAGAAAATCGGCTTCTGATCACCTCGATCCTCTCAAACTAAAACCCCACTTACAGAATGATTAGAAACCGAGATGTAAAGATAAAGTTTCTCATCTGACTCAGGTTTTGAGAGGACCGGCGGTGTTGTCAGATAAGTTTTTAGTTGATCGAAAGCTGCTTCGCATTGATCATCCCACCAAAATTTTTTGTTCCCTTTTAAAATCTGGTAAAAGGGGAGACATTTATCAGTAGATTTCGAAATGAAACGATTCAACGCAGCAATTCTGCCCGTCAACCGCTGGACCTCTTTAATGTTTTTTGGTGAAGGCATTGTGAGGAAAGTGTTAATCTGATTAGGATTACCTTATATTCCTCTTTATGTGACTATGTAGCCTAGGAATTCACCAGAAGGTACACCAAAAGAACATTTAGCTGGATTTAATTTCATTCCGAATTCATTTAGAATTTTGAAACATTGCTCAAGATGTGTGATGTGCTCGGATTTCTTAAGAGATTTTACGAGCATATCATCGATATAAACTTCCATCGTTTTGCCCAAATGTTTTGCAAACCTTTTGTTAACTAAACGTTGGTATATTGCCCCGACATTTTTTAGACCGAATGGCATAACTTTATAACAGTAGATTCCTCTATCTGTTATAAAAGATGTTTTCTCTTCATCTTCGGGATTCATCATGATCTGATTATATCCAGAAAATGGATCCATGAATGTCAAGAGTTCGTTTCCGGCTGTGGATTCTACGAGCCGATCGATATGAGGGAGAGGAAAACTATCTTTTGGACATGCTTTGTTAATGTGAGTGAAATCGACACATACTCTCCACTTTCCATTTTTCTTTTTAATTACCACGGGGTTAGCTAACCAGTCCGGGTATTTTACTTCTCTAATCGAACCGATTTTCAAAAGCTTATCAACTTCGTCATTGACCACTTGAGCTCGGTCAGGACCCAGTTTTCTTCTCTTTTGCTTTATTGGTTTAAAACTGGGATCGACGTTTAAATCATGGGTAATGATACTTTTGTTGATTCTAGGCATATCTTTCGCCGACCAGGCAAAAATATGTTTATTTCCTTTTAGAAATGTTACCAATTGATCTTTGATTTCTGAATCTAAAGTAGTACCGATTTTTACTTTTCGATCTGGAAATTCGGAATCAATTTCAATTTCTGTGGTAACCTCATTCGAACTGAGGCCGCTTGGGTAACGCGAGGTGCTTTCTTGTTTAGCATTTATCATTAATTGCTATTTGAGCTTTAAACGATGTCCCATGAGATAGCAAGATCGTGACGTTTCCTGATCTCCTCGAATGGTTCCAATTCCACCAGGAGTCGGGAATTTCACACACTGGTGATAAGTTGAAGGTATAGCCTTCATTTGATATATCCACGGTGTGGATATAGGATTCACACTCGATTGTCTTTAAGTATATTTGTGGAGAAAAACTTTAAAATCAACAAATGAAAATAAGGATTTGAAAAGGAAAGTAACCAAAAAACTAAATAAAGCGAAAGAGCTTGGCAAGAATAAAATAGTTAAAAGCCTTGCGAAATTGTAAAAGAAAGAGTATGTTGTATTGCTTGATAGTAAGAGGTAAAAAGTTGTTCTCCTCCCAAACACATGCGTTTGAGGTTGTTTTTATAGAGAAAACATGATCAATGCAGTCATTTACTGCTCATAATCGCATTGATCCGCATTAATCATGTAGGTTACAATTTGACCGAAACGGCTTGAATTTGAACTATCTTGGGCTTCGCGTGGATCTTCCGAACTCTTTCTTGTTGACTCTGAACTCCTGCGTCTTGACGCTGCCGCAAACCTCGAACATTATTCTCCTCGCTTCGGCCTTCCTTTATGCGAACTGTATGTTGAATAAGAGCGAACTCTGTACTGGTAAAGATCGAGCTCTTTAATAAACTAGATCGAACTTCCGATAGGTCGAGCTCGATTCTCGCAATGAAACATCTAGAAATCCAAGAGGATTATTATGTAATAATGACGTGGACAGATCCAAGTGGATCCTACCGAAGATGTGTGGGATCCGACCCCAACATTTTGCCCCCCAAGTCTTGCGAGCTGAATGCTCGGCTTGGAAGACTTAAGTAAACAGTAATTAATGACTCGAGATCTTTAGCATTCCGGAATTATTCCAGGTTTTACGCTATTATGCCGATCTCGGATAATCAGATGATTTGATATCCCTGACAACCGTCATCTTTAATTTCTTAATTTTATATTAATACTACGGGGAAAACTATCCCACTTCCCAATATTCTCGAGGCGGTTTTCCGCTAAATAAGGTTAAATGGAACGACGGCTTTTACAGCAGCGTACATTTACCTCTAAAGCTTTTACCAAACTAGAAAAAGAGAAACCTCTTAGTAAAAGATATCTTCCCCAGCCGTCTATGTTTTGGAAAACGAAGATGACAGTCAAGGAATCCCTGTTCCCAGAGGGGATGAAGTCTTCACCCAAAGGGGAGACAAATTTGGTCCGCATTTCAGGTCTCAGTCGACCTCCGCTTCCCTTGGCGCTCTTTGCCGCCTTTGTAACATCCCCCAGGAAATTGAATTCTCTCTTCCTAGACCCAACGAGTCTCCGGAAGTGGTGCGAGAGGGTTACTTTTGTGCGTACGAAGTCTATTTCAAAGGTTGTGGTTTGTTTTTTCCCGTACCGGAAGTTCTTCTTTTATACCTCCTCCACCTAGGGATTGCCTTTCCCCAAATGGCTCCTAACTTTCTTCGATACGTTCTGAGTACCCTGACTGTTTCGGCAGAAGCAGGGTTTTCCCTCTCCACCAGTAAACTCTTAGGGCTATTTCGAGCCCGTGAATCCGCAACAGCGGGTATTTTTTCTATAAACCCTATCCTTGACCGTAACCTGATCGACGGAATGCCCTCGAATGACGGGTCTTGGAGGAAATACTGGTTCTTTTTCCGAGTCAACCCCCATTGCGTTCAAGGTCTTTCCGTTCTTCTTCTCGCCAATTGGTCGGCTAAACTTGGTTAAAAATCCAACCTTTACTACTTTCCACTGTATTAAGTAAAAGAGATAGAATTCTTAACCCAATACTTTGTTTCAGGAAACCAGACGATCCCCCGCCCAACCGTTGACTTCTTATCCTCCTTTTGAATCGTTTCCGAGGGTGAAACAAATTGGAATTCCTTCATCCTTCAACGCATTCATAAAGCGGGGCTCGCCATTAAAGACGGTCAGACTCACCCCCTCGATCCTCCTCCCGAGGAGAAAGACGTCTCGAGCCTGAATGCTCGAGATAAAATAAAGATGCAGGCTGAAATCAAGGCTCTTAAGGATCAGCTATCCGAAATCGGGAGAAAGAAACGGATAGCTGCAATCTCCAGGGTTGGTAACTTCCACAGGAAGACCCTCTTGGTTGATGACGGTTCATTAGAAGCAGCCCTGTCAGCCGCGGTGGATACTCATGGAGCCAAGATCCTTAACAACCCTCCAGTTGCCATCGCAACTTGCCCTTCCGAACCAGGGTGTGAGGGAGAAATAACCTCCTCTCCTTGTACAAAGAGGAAGGCTCCAGATTCCGATAATCTATCAAACGAGAGACTTAAAACCATGAGATTAAGTTCTCCCCCACGAGTCTCTAGCCCTCTATGTTCTATTTCTCCCTCTTCAGAACCTTTAAACTCCGAGCTTCCTCTTCCGGGTGACAGAGTAATTTCAGAGGAAATTGATGAGCCGAGATCGGAGGCTCCCCTATCTCAAGGACTGAGTGTTAGGACTCAAAATCCTTTACCCGCTTCGATTTCAGGTAAGTTTTTACTTAAAAAGCGAGCATTAGCAAAACTTGCCACATATTGCATCTATTTTATTAATTTGCTATTCTCCTCTGCTTAGCAGGCGAAGAAGAGATTGGAGACATCTTCCAAAGTTTCCAAACCAGGCAAGGGGCGTCTCTTCCTCCATTTTCGGTTTGGAGGCCGGAAGTACGTCAGATGTTCGCCAATCGAGCTTGCTACCTATCCCAGGTTCGGATCTTTTAGATTATGAAAATCTCCCTTCCTTAGGTAAAAGCTTCTTGTCTAAACGACATGTTTTTTTTTTTACTCCGAAGGCGTTTATGGAGACTAATGGAATGATCTTCCATTATGAGAACCTTCTTCATCAAGCGAAGAGAGAGACCGCAAAGGCTAAGAAGGAGGTTGATGATCTCAGATTAGCCAACCAATCCAAGCGACTTGAGCGGGAAAAAGCATTCGAGTCGTCTTTTGAAAATATGAAGAAACCTCTAGCAGCTAACGAGCAACGCATCAGAATTCCGAATGCTGAAAGAGATTCTGCGAGGTCTAATGCTCTTCGCTTGGAGGCTGAGATAGAGGAGAATACGACTTTGTTCGAAGAGGCAAATCAAGAGATCGAGCTTTTAACTAGGAACAGGGCTCGCGATATCGCTGAAGCCGAACATAATGCTCGAGAAGAGATGAGGGGATTCGGTAGGCAACTTATTCAATTTGTTACGAAGTTCATCAAGGACGAAGAGGTCTGGACTAAACTTCTAACAGATCAAGCCGAACTGAAGAGCAATCTAGACCTTATTAAGGAACTAGAGGCTGGGAGAGTTTCGTTCGAGAACGAGAGGAGCGAAGTTGCTGCCGAACTCGCTATGGTTGAGTCCGAGTTATCCTCGGCTTCCCGTCCTACTCTCGATCTGAAACAATTTTCTTTGGTATTTGGAGATTCCCCATCTCAATTCGAGGTAGGTGAAGGTTCTCGGCCACATGAGGGTTCTCCAGAGGTGTAGGAACGCTCTCTTTTTTTTAAAGAATTGTTTTGTTGAGTCCATGAGGATTATTCCGTTTGACGGAAATATTTTGTTCAATTAGTGTAACCGAACACAACCATGTACATGCTTTGGCATATGATTTTTTTTTTTTAGCAAAAACGTTTGGACACGATTCTAGGTTTGCAAGTCCTAGCCTGCCAAAGAGGTTTTATGAATTGTGAGAGATGAGCTGATCACGCTCACTTGCATTTTTTAAAGAAAAAATCTTAATAAGTATTTTTCCTCGGTCTCTCGAAGGCGAGGATGGAGCTCGGCTTAAGTTTTCTTTTTATATCGAGGGATAAGATTAATAATTCATGAGAATTTTATCATAAATACGACCAAGCAATGATTTCGATCGTTGCCCATGATGGCTTCGGAATCGCTGGGCCGCGTTTTAATTGGATCTGAAGCCTGCTCCAATAGGCCAACAATATATAATTATTTTTAGAAATCTGAACCTCTTTCTTTTTTAAAAGGAATTCCGAAAGATCACCATAGTTCATTATAAGAAAAAACTTGAAAAATGCCGCTGTCTTCTTTCAGATCAAGCTCAAGAATAACAACTTCAAGTGGGAACCCATTGTTTGAGTCCGAAGACGGATTCTCTCCAAAGGGAGTTATTCACCCAACGTTTTTTCATTTCCGAACAGGGAAGAAAAGGGTCAAATGTTATGACTTCCTGGAAAAGGTTCCTTTTCTAACTCTTAGTCTTCTCAGAAAACTATAACTTCCTTTCTTTTGGTCATTTGACAAAATGTTCGTTCAAACAGATCGTCGGGAGACACAAAGCTTTATGTGAGAAGAGACAAAGAATCGGAAGGAGGCGCCGTGCTCTTGATGAGCGCATAAAGAGGATGGAAAGAGAGATCCTTCGCTTGGAATCTGAACCGCACGAATGGGAGAGGAATGGTCTAGACATCGTGGCCATAATGCCTACTTGCCTCTGAAGATTCCTCCGCATGCTGGATAAATTTCATCGTTTATCCTTGGCGACCAGTGATGGGTCCTCTTTTGTTTCATGTTCCTCAGAGTTCCGGAGACTTCCGATGTTAAGAACTGAAGAAAAAGAGGAACCGGAGACGAAAATTGTTGATGACTTCTTCGGCCCTTTTGATTTATCTTCTGACGAGGGGCTATCCTCGGAAAGCTGTTCGGGATCTTCCACCTCGCTGGAGTCATTATCGGGCGAAGACTTTTGATCGAACACTTTCCTATTTATGTTTGTAAAATGTCACTGGTCTTGAAACCCAGCAACATTAATTACATTTCCCCTTTCGCTCTAAATTCGCCGATTTATTCAAATCTCATTTAATGCGTTTAATCTAGGGAATATAATTAGCAATTAACTCGATCACATTTTCCATGAAAATCGTAATTTCAGATTTGAGAAATTGTCAATTAATCCTCTTAAATGCAATCGAATAGTTTTTCGAGTATAAAGTGGGTGTAGTCTGTCATTGAATTTCAAAAACAATTCTACAAAAATGTTCAAGGGAGGTAATTCATCAGAGAATCCTTCAGACTTGTTCAAAGTGATGACTGTTGATCCTTCGAGGACGTCGGACATCGAGCTTATAAAAGCAAAAGAGTCTGGCTAACCAAAAGATTCTCAAATATTGAAGAAGGGAACTAGCATTCAGGTTCCGATCGTTTTAATCGAGAGATTGTCGCCTCAAGATCGTGTTAAGGCTGAGGAGTTTATCAATAAGGTATTTTCCATCCTAGTGATTAACTTCTTTTTGTTATTGCTAACCGTAGCGTTTTATTTTCTTCAGCTTATCACTCGGCATGACGAGCTCGAAGATGAGAAGAAAAAGATTAGGAAATGGATAATGGAGCTAGAGAAACGTCGCCTCAATATTTCACGCGAGCTTCATCGCCTCGAAGCCCATCCTTCCGATTGGATCGAACTGGGACTTCAAGAGTATGGAAACATGCCAGGTTGCATTATGAGCATCGTTGACTTCGCTGGTCAAGGAGCGGAGTTGTTCCGTAATTCAAGACCCTTCTAGATCCGGTCTTATAAAAATAGAATTCCATGACTGGAATAATATTTTTATTTTAATGTTATAGGTTGATTCGTGACTAGCGAGCTGCCTACGTACCTAGACTAGGATCAAGCCAAATCGTAGTTCGAATGTGTTTGCTTTAGCAATAGAACTTTTTCAAGTTGATTATGTTCCAAGGCCTTTGAACGAGATTTCCACCAAGGTCTTGTAAACGGTATACACCGTTTCAGATTTTTTCAGTGATTTGATAAGGGCCTTCCCAGTTAATACCGAGTTTTCCAGCTCCTTCTTCTTTTGTGTTATCGAACACTCGCCTTAAAACTAAGTCTCCTACATTTAAAGGTCTGTTTTTCAACTTTGAGTTATAGTAGCGAGCGGTCAACTGTTGATAATTCTGAAGTCGAATAAGGGATTGGTCTCGCATTTCATCGATTGTATCGAGAACATCTTATAATAATTTATAATTCGATTCTTTCTTAAGTGGAGCTTCGCTTCAACGCAAACCTGGAACATTCAGCTCGGCTGGGACTACGGCTTCCATCCCATAAACTAATGAGAATGGAGTTTCACCTGTTGCTCACCTTGGGGTTGTTCGATAAGCCCACAACACAGGTTGCAGCTCGTCATACCATCCACCTTTTCGAGCACTCAAGCGTTTTTTAAGATTGCTGAGAATGGTTTTATTGGAGGCTTCCACTTGTCCATTTCCTTGAGAATACCTCGGCGTTGAGTAGCTAAGTTTTATTCCCCAAGCGGAACAAAAATATTCAAAATCATTTGAAATGAATTGAGGACCATTGTCTGTTAGTATTTTGTAAGGAATTCCATAGCGACAAATAATGTGTTTTCACAAGAATGTCTTTACTACGGAATCTTGTATGCTTATATAAGCTTCAGCTTCAATCCATTTGGAAAAATAGTCCGTTAGAACTAATAAGTATTGGACGCCTCGTGTTGAACGATGCATCGGACCGATTATATCCATTGACCACCTCATGAAAGGGTATGGAGCGGATATATGTGATAGAAATTCAGATGGCTCGTGAATAAGAGGAGCGTGCATCTGACACTTTTTACACCGTTTGGCGTAATCAATGCATTCTGAAATCATAGTTGGCCAGAAATATCCTAACCGTTTGATTTTGAAAGCCATTGCTTGTCCCGAAGAATAACTACCACAAAGCCCTTCATGGACCTCGCTTGTCACTATTTCAACTTTGGGTCCAAAAATACATAAAAGATAAGGATCACTGACGCCTCGCTTGTACAATGACTCTTTAATTATACAATACTTAGCGCTGATGATTTTTAATTTGCGAGCTTGCCATTTGTTAGATGGTAGTTATCCATTAAGAATGAAATTTTTGATGGGTACCCTCCAGTCAGCCCCCCAATCATTAGCGGAAGTATTATCCTTGAGTATAAACTTCCTTGGTTCGGGTTTGGAAGGAATATCAGGATCTTCGAGTGTCTCCTGAACCTCTACATCACCTGGAAGTGACTGTTCGGTTCGAGATGGTTCTTTAATGGGAACCTCTTGATCCTTTAACTTTCTTTTTGACTTTCTTTTAGGAAGTTCCAATGGTGGAGTAAGTTCGTCATCTTGAGACTTTATCCGTGATCTGGTGATGACAAGTGAACTATTTCCGGAACTTTGTTTTGGAGTTTCGATGTATTCGGCCTCCGAAATGTTATCGTTTTCTATTTCTTCATCCGAAATATTTCGCGAAGAAATACATTCAACTGGGATAACTCGTTTGAGTTCAGGATCTGAGGTAGAAGCTAGGGCAGCTAAAGCGTCTGCCGAAGTGTTTTCTCCTCTAGGTATTCGAACTAATTCGAATTCTTTGAATTTTTCGGCTAATTTTTTGACAGCCGAAAGATAAGCTTCCATTCGAGGAGCCTTAGCTTCGTAATCTCCAGCGAACAGGTTTACAACTAGCTGAGAATCGCAATAAGCTATTATTTTTCTGCTCCAATCGCAAGAGCAAGCCGAAGTCCTGCTAAAAGAGCTTCGTATTCTGCTTCATTGCTCAATTATTTCCTTTGTCGGAGTTTCGAGCCTAATGCCGATTTCGGATCCTTGTTTAGAAGAAGAGCCATCTACATGTAATTTCCATGTAGAGTCCGTTTCAACAAAGATTCCATCATCTAATGGCAGTTCGGTTAGAAAATCAGCCAGAACTTGTGCTTTTGCGCTAGTTCGACTTTTATATTCTATATCGTACTCACTGAGTTCGATTGTCCATTTCGCTAACCTACCGGACTGACTTGGCCCATGAAGAATTGAGCGAAGCGGATGGGAAGTTAGTACTTCTATAGGATGAGATTGGAAATAAGGTCTGAGTTTTCTAGCAGATATGACCACTGCTAAAGCTAATTTCTCCATCATGGTATATCTCGTTTCTGGACTAGTAAGAGATTTACTTATGTAGAAAATTGGCTTTTGCTCACCTTGGTCCTCTCGAACTAAAACCCCACTTACGGAATGGTTAGAAACTGAAATGTAGAGATAAAGTTTCTCATCTAATTCAGGTTTTGAGAGAACCGGCGGTGTTGTTAGATAAGTTTTGAGTTGACCAAATGCCGCTTCGCATTGATCATCCCACCGAAATTTTTTGTTCCCTTTCAAAATTTGATAAAAGGAGAGACATTTATCGGTAGACTTCGATATGAAACGATTTAATGCAGCAATTCTGCCTGTCAATCGTTGGACCTCCTTTATGTTTCTTGGCGAAGGCATAGTAAGGAAAGCGTTAATCTGATTAGGATTTGCTTCTATTCCTCTTTCCGTGACTATGTACCCCCAGGAATTCTCCGGAAGGCACGCCAAAGGAACATTTAGCTGGATTTAATTTCATTCCGAACTCGTTTAAAATTTTGAAACATTGCTCGAGATGTGTGATGTGCTCAGATTTCTTAAGAGATTTCACGAGCATATCATCAATATACACCTCCATCGTTTTG